TTAATAAATTGTTTGATTAAAATGATTGCCAATATTTAGTTATTATGAACTGATTGGCTGAGAATCACTCTAAGGTGTTAATGTCAGATAAATGAGACACACACATGCACACACACACTCTCTCAAACACACACTCTCTCAAACACTCACACACGCAATACATTTGCACACACACACAATACGTCAACACAACACCTAGCAGTCACAGTTAGTCTTCATCACAGACGCTTTTGCTCCGCAATATCCACATATGCAGCGGTGGCGTTAGAGGCTTTGTGGTTCTCACTTTGCGTATTTCACACTTTTTTTTCTCAGAAAAGTGAAAACCGCAAAGCCTCAAACGCCACCGCAATTATTATGTGATGTGTCCCAAATTGCACTCACACACTATTCTAAACCATTTTGCAGTAAAAATAGTGTAAGTAGAGCACTCACACGCACTATATTAAAGATTTAAATGATAAAAAAGGGGAGGAGCTGATGATGAAGGGGAGGGGCTGATGATGAGGGGAGACGCTACAAATTTAGGGGAGGGGTTACTGATAAGGAGAGGAGCTAATGATGAAGGGGAGGGACTGATGATGTCAGGCTGATTAGTAAGAGGAGGAGCTACTGTTGAGTGGGAGGGATGATTTATGAAGGGGAGGAGCTACAGATGAGGGGAGGAGCTGATTATAAAGTGTCAAACGCCACCGCAATTATTTTGCGATGTGTCCCAAATTGCACTCACTCACTCATGTTGCAGTATAAATAGTGTAAGTAGAGCACTCACACGCTAGGGGAGGGGAGGAGCTACGGATGAGGTGAAGAGCTGATGATGAATGGGAGGGGCTGATGATAAAAGGGGGGGGCTGATTATAAAGGGGAGGAGCTACGGATGAGGTGAAGAGCTGATGATGAAGGGGAGGAGCTGATGATAAAAGACGGGGGGCTGATTATAAAGGGGAGGAGCTATGGATGACGTGAAGAGCTGATGATAAATGGGAGTGTCTGATGATAAAAGGGGGGGGCTGATTATAAAGGGGAGGAGCTATGGATGAGGTGAACAGCTGATGATGAATGGGAGTGTCTGATGATAAAAGGGAGGGGCTGATTATAAAGGGGAGGAGCTACGGATGAGGTGAAGAGCTGATGATGAAGGGGAGGAGTTATCAGGCTCTGAGGCTGGACTATTTATTGTAGATTTCTCAGTCTAAATTCTCCAACATAAGTGATTGCGGCGCCTCCTGATGGTGAATGCAGTCATATTTGGTCGTTAATCTTCCTTAATTCAGCAGCTGTTAAACATTTCCTGGAAAACGGTTTGAATGTGTGTGTAGGTACTGTTCCAGAACTGAACTCTGCACTACATGCTTTTAGTCTGTATGAATTATTCTGTCTAAATGAAGGAGGTGAATATAAACTGATGTCCAGCAGGTGGCGCTGTCACCTCACTCACTCAACACACAGGAGATATCCCTCCTGCCTCACTATATCTCTATCCTTTGGTAATTCTATTGCTTGTTCTCCCTCCCTCTCTCTCTCTCTCTCTCTGTATACTTTATAAAACAAAAATAATAAAATGTAATATTTAGTAATAATAAGCTTGTAAAAGATTATAACGTGCATCTCATTCTGTTTTTCTTGCTCACTCAGAATATTAGCTCAGTGGGGTGAGTGTGAAACGTGACGCACCCCTTTGTAGATGTCCACCTCCAGGGTCTCGTTGTTTGCTGGGAAAAGATCAGTGTGAGGACTTCCTGTTTCATTACACTGCTGACTCTGCAGAGAACACACACACACACACACACACACACACACATCAGACAATTTAGCCTATCCAATTCACCTGTACCGCATGTCTTTGGACTGTGGGGGAAACCGGAGCACCAGGAGGAAACCCACGCCAACACAGGGAGAACATGCAAACTCCACACAGAAATGCTAACTGACCCAGCCGGGACTTAGCGACATTCTTGCCGTGAAGCCACAGTGCTAACCACTGAGCCACGGTGTCGCCCATGCATAAAATCATTTAAAGCAAGTGATAAAACATTATTTAAACATTTGTGAATGGAAAATGCATTTCAGGACTAATAAAATTACTAATGATTTTTTTTATAAAACACATTTTTGTGCAAATCTTTATTATTATTTTTTTTAATATTAGACTTTTATGTTAAAATATTCAACATTTGTGATAAGCATCGGTGGTTAGCGCTGTTGACATATCTTCCAGATCAGTGCACAAGGTTCCTAGATCTCATGCTGGGTAAAGCACATTTACACATGCTCTCACACTATAGAGACATAGACAGACAGACGAACACACACACACACACACACACGTGCATACATCGCACACACGAGCAGACAAAAACGCACTAGTA